GTTGAATGGCCATGTTGTACACCTGAAACTAATGTAACACTGTGTCAACTATAGAAGGAAGGAAGGGAGGGAGGAAGGAAGGAAAGAAGGCAGGCAGGCCCCAGTTACCATACAACTTACACTACCCACTATCCCTTCTGAGCTTGGGGACTCCCTTGGTCTCTCTTCCCAGTCAGTATAACATCTCCCTTAACTGGAGTTATGGGGCAGGCCCACAAGGCTGGAGCAAGGTCTCTACTATTTTGCTGAATGCCCTGAGAGCTCTGGGCTGGAGTCCCTAGTTCTTTACCAATTTTCTTTTCTTCACTTTCTTGATGTACTCTGGCTAGACAAAGCCAGCCTATTTTGATATAAGACTTTTTTTGAAATCACTCACCTGCAGCCGGTCAGTCTTCTCCTGCCAGGTGTATCACATCTGTCTTGTCAGCTTTGTCCCTTGCCAAGGCTGAGCCTCTGACTCCAAATCAATGAGATGTTGGCGCCCCCTAAAGAACACATTTACTAATACACGTTTAGTCAGGTTTAGGGTTGGGGGCTCTTGTTGTCTTTTTAAATTTGATTAGTATTTTATCTTTGTGTATCGTGTAACCATTTGCTTCGACTTGGATGGAATTGGAGGGTATGATGCTGAGTGAAGTAAGTCAATCGGAGAAGGACAAACATTATATGGTCTCATTCATTTGGGGAATATAAAAAATAGTGAAAGGGAATAAAGGGGAAAGGAGAAAAAATGAGTGGGAAATATCAGAGAGGGAGACAGAACATGAGAGACTCTTAACTCTGGGAAATGAACAAGGGGTAGTGGAAAGGGAGGTGGGCGGGGGTTGGGGTGACTGGGTGATGGGCACTGGGGGGGGGGCACTTGACGGGATGAGCACTGGGTGTTATGCTATATGTTGGCAAATCAAACTCCAATAAAAAAATACAAAAAAATACATTAGTAATTCTTCAAAGTAAATGGACAGGTTGATATGATTAATTTAATGCAGTATATAGAAGCTCCAGGTGTCAAAGCAGAAAAAATAGTGTACTGCTTTACCTCTGAGCACTTGAAATTTTTAGATATGAATTTGTGAATGAAGAATGTACAAATTACTTATTTTCTGCTGTAATTATAGAATAAGTTGGGGAAGGTAAGAGAAGGCTAAAGTCCTGAAATATATTAATAAGCTTTTAAGTCCTCTTATAGAACAATTTTTCTGTACAGGACAAAATTTTAGCTGTTTGTCAGTCAAATTAATTCCTTGGAATACAAACAGAAGCATCTGGATTTTTGTTTTTATTTTTGTTGCTAGGAAGAGAAAAACTTGTCTGAAACTCAGGGATCATTTGATGAATGTTATCTGGAATCAAATCAAGAGAATATTTGACCTAACAGAGAGTATATTGATTTGAAAATAAGATTTTTTTCCTGAAAGAAATTATCTAGTATACAATTTATTCATATAATAATTCTATTCTCATTTCTTGACATTGCTATTATTTCAGGGTCTTCCTCTTAAAATTTAAATAGAACTATGGAACCATCATAAATGTGAGGGTTTAGCTAATACTTAGCCTTTAGCCTAATCTATTTAGCCAGAGCACAGCTCCTTTGGCCCAATGTCTTCTTTGGGAATGTGTTTTCACAGGCATTAACTGAACAACCTCACTAAGGCAAAGTCATCCTTTTAGGACCCAAGTATCAACTTTAAGAGGGAAGAGCAAGTGGTAGGAATGGCCACTCCAGCCCAGCGAAAGAACCAGGTGCCTATACTACAAAGGCTACTCCCCATCTCTGAGAGTTATGTGTACAAAAGCCCCATAGTAGGAGAATTTGCAGCTGAGAAACAAAATTTCAGTGGAGAAGTAGAGAGGAAGAACCAAAGTTGCAATGAACATGTAAAAACTTGTATAAATACTAAGTTCACCAAAACTAAAAAATAACAGCATCTAAAATATAACATTGATGATATTTTATGTATGTTGAATTTGCACATTTAAGGCACCATGTTGTTTGTTTCTTTCTCTCTCTATTCTTTCCACACCAGAAAATACCCTCCTTTGCAGTATCAGAGAGAAGTTTATAAATATATTTTGCTTTCTTGCAATAAGGTGCATATGTCCTTCCTCTTCCTCTGCTCAAATGTTTAGTCCCTTTCTAACTTTATGATCTCTGCCTCTGAACTCCGCTCTGGTCTCAGAGACAGGGGGTAATTTGTAATCCTCGGGTGAAAAATGCTTTGGGGGATCTATTTTATCTAGCAGACCTGAGCAGGTTAGTTCTCAAGCCCCGAGATCAAAGGTTGTGTTACTTGAGCTCTACCTACAATCCCCACCAGAGCATACACAGGTAGGCAACATTTATACATGGCCTGGCTCTAGCACTGTTAACATGGCCAAAAGTCAGACTCCTGACAGTCTACCCTGCCTCAGCTTTCTTCACGCCTCCCATGGTCACACTGCCAAAAAACCTCTACTCCTGTCTCTGCTAACCACTCTGCCCCTTGTTTTAATTCCCAGACTCTGCTCCCTTTTTCTCCCCATCTCCAAGAAAAACGGCAATCGATTTAAATATACTTGAGTGGAAATATTTTGAAGTTACTGAAAATATATATGGAGGAAAGTAAATCTGCTTACGCTTAGAGTCTACTAAGGGGAGTTTGCATTTGTCCATGTTGTCCACATACAAATACTGTGACATCACTCTTGTGATCTGAAGAGCCTGTTGTCGTGTGCCTCAGAGGAGTCTGGGTAATACACGTACTGGATAATATGTACATGCTCTGGTAGTACAGGGAGGCCGAAGATGATAAACAAGACTTTGTAAGTGAGCACAGACTCTGTGGTCCTCTGGGTATTCTGCGTTCCTACCATCTACTCAGCAGGAAAGGGATGTTTGAGGGCCCAGAGCCTCTGAGGCAGCATGCTCCAGCCTTCTGTATGGAAGGGCAGGGCCTTAGAAGGAAGTGGCTGACATGTGACCTTCCTTCCCTCACTCACTCAACCATGAGCACGCGCCCCTGTGGGTGAGGATGCACCCTCTTCTGCAGTGTTTTGTCTGCCTCTTATCCTCGCTCTTCTGACTTTCTTCCATATCCTCTAGATAACCTTATTTGATTTTTCCAAGTGGTGTCTGTGTCTGGTCTACACCTACAATATGATATTGGCATTTATGGAGATAACAGACATAGAGGCACCATAGGTCCTGTTTGTTATCTTCTCCATCCTCCAATAAACACTTGTCCTGTCTGTCTGCATGGAATGTCCATCTTGCTCAGCTTATGAAGGCTTAGCCACATAGTTTATTAGCCCATCCCATCTTGGAGTTCCGGTTTCCTGACCCACACCATCCACAGCCTCAGCCGTCACTCAGCCCATGTCCAGCTAGCCTGCTTCCCCATGAGCCCTGCATGAACCGATTTTCCAAAGTCCCATGCAGTCACCTACAGCATTTCTTGACAGGTGGAAAAACCAATTTGTTCCATAATTCTCAACTCCATAAATTCCTGGCAGACTTCCCTTCCTGAGCACTGAGCTAGGAGTCCAGTCTCTCCAAATCTTCACTCTACAGCATTCATCTCAGCTCTCTTCCCCCTCACTCCCCATGCTGCTTGCACCTGCCCTCCAATAAACCCACCTACCATTTATCCTGAAGAGAGTAATTTTTATTTTGTCCTTTATCCTTTTGATTAAATTATTTGAATTACCCATTTATCCTTCTAATGCCATAAGCTTACTTCCAAGAAGTCTTAACATCTCAACAAAGTAAGTCACTCTCTCTCTACAGAAGAAGAGAATACTGGCCTCACATGTGCAGGCTCCTATGCCTTCTTCAGCTAGAATTTTATAACATTTCATAACTCTCAGTGCCTTATCATGCCTAAATTGCCCCCCTCCTGGGATGTGGGGTGCAGGAAGCAGCTTTTAGAGGAGGAAATGGGTACAGAGGGGCGAGACAGAAGGAGCTGCTTCTTCCTTCCTAGTTCCTCCACGGCCTTAAAAGTTGGGCATGGTGGGGGATGGAGGCAAAACAGTGAGGAGGAGCTGAGAAGGTCAAGGAAGCCTGTTGTCAAGGTCCCCATGTTGCTACCTCAAGTGCTATCTAATGGCTCACCATGTCCTATATCCTGAGAGAACTCTGTGACCCTGGAGACCTTGATGAGTCAGGATGGAATGCAGAATCCCAAGATAACTGCTGTCACCAGCCCAGACAGCCTTCCAGCTCAGCCCAGCCAGCTAAGCCCAGAATCAGGAGTGCCCAGAAGATGTCCTTCATGCCCAGAATGATACCCACTGGAGGGGCCAGTCCTGATTAGAGATTCTGAGGATAGGTGGTTCAAGGCAGAACCACCAATTCCAAACTGAAGAAGACTTCAGCATTTCCAGGAACTCTAGATTCTGAGACTCACTCCTGCAGGGAGTGGCAGTGTCTGGAGTGGGGCAGGAGGCTTTCTGGACTCTCTGGTGCTGTGGAGGTCTCAGTCTCTCTCAAGGCCTTGCAGCTCTGACCCCAGTAGTGGGTAGTATTTTGGTGAGTTGGAGTTTTTTTTTTTTTTTTTTTTAAAGGGAAATAAGGAATAGTGTGTGTGTTCTATCTTTGGTGATGCTTAAGCAGGCACTCAGCAGGTAGAAATATTTCAACTGGAGAGGGATGTTCTTATGCTAACAAATACTTATTCAATATGACTACTAGAATGCCTTGTATTTATATTTTTTAGATTTATTATTAGAAGGTGCAAGTGGGGGAAGGGCAGAAGGAGAGGGAAAGAATCTCCAGCAGACTCCCCACAGAGCACAAAGCCGGGAGGACATGGAGCTCAATCTCAGGACCTCGATGTCATGACCTGAGCCAAAACCAAGAGATGGACGCTTAACTGACTGAGCCACTCAGACACCCCTAGAATGCCTTACATTCAGATCAACAGGCATTTGCTAAGAGAACCCCCTGGTAGTCAAAATCATCACTATGAATTCTCCTAACCCTTAAAAATTAACACTAAGGTTTGCTGTCTCTGCAGGTCCTCAAGCATGTTCCACATAATGAAGCACAGTCACTACAGCTCCCGATTTGGCAGCAAACTTGGATTGCAGTGCATAGGCATGCATGAAAACGGCATCATATTTAACAACAATCCAACACTCTGGAAAGCTATTCGACCCTTCTTTACAAAAGGTAATCAGGTGCCAGTGACATTCTATTTTATCTATAAAAATGCCCCCTTTTCTGGAATTTAAGTTTTGCTGCTTCACTTATTTTGAAGTAATAAGATATGGTAGGCACTATTCTAAGTACTTGATATTTTAATCCCTCAGCAACCCCATGTGGTAAATACTCTTGTCATCTACATTTTACACATAAGAAAACTGAAGCTTAAATAAATAGGCTAACTTACCCCACATCCCCAAATGAGTAAATGGTGGCCCAGAAGACAATGTCAGTGCCTACATTTTTAACCACCACAAGCTCCATTCTTCCTATTGATGCACAAAGCAGTTCCAAGGACATGAAGAAGAGATGGAGCTCTGTACTTAGGATCATTTCAATTAAGAATTTAATGTTGTCAGTCACATGTTTGATTTAAACATAGCCACACAATGTGTTTGCTGAATCACTGACTGACATCCCAGATGTTTTAACAGAAAGCTATTTATGAATAAAATTAGAGAATTTTAGAACTAGGAAGGAATGTATATGTCATCTCATCCAGTCTCTGAATTTCATAGTTGGGGAAATATAGTCCTAGAGAGGTTGTGATTTTTGCTCAGACAACATAGCAAGTAATAGATGAGCACAGACCTGATCCCAAACTCCTTGTCAGTGTTTTCCCCCTTTACTGTATTTTGCTAGAAATGAAGCATTTGGGGAATATACATGTCCAGTCTTTGACATCAACATCAAGTAAGATAATCATGTCCTGGAAACACTGTCAGTGATAGAATCTGGGGATAGATGGATTTTAGGTCTGACCCCATGCACCATTAATATTTTTCCCTCTAGTCAGCCCTGTAGTGAATGAACTTGGATACCTCCCATGTGGCTACTGAGACAGGGAAAAACTATGCCTGTTCTGCGGAGCACTGATTACCTCTACAGAGTTGCCCGTAACCAAGACTCAGTACAACTCTATTGTAGACTCCACTCTATTTGTCTTATATTGCTGCTGTAACAAATTGCCACAAACTTAGTGACTTAAAACAATGTATCAATTAATTTCTAGTTCTATAGGTCAAAAGTTTGGCATGGGTCTCAACAGGCTAACATCAAGGTATTGGCTGAGCTGTATTGCTTTCTGGAGGCTCCAGAGGAGAACCTGTTTCTTTGTATTTTCCAGCTTCAGAAGCCACCTGCATCCCATGGCCTATGGCCCCTACCTCTGTCTTCAAAGCTAGCAACAGTGGGTCAGGTTCTTTCTATATCATATATCTCAAGACCATCCATCTATCATCACATCACTTTTTGACTCTGATGACAGCTGGAAAAGGTTCTTTGTTTTTGAGGACTCATGTAATTATGTTGGGCCTACTCAGATAATTCACAATACTCTCCCCATCTCAAGCTCCTTAACTTGAATTATATGTGCCAAGTCCTTTTTTTTTTTCCATGTAAAGTAACATATTAAGAGTTTCCAGAGACTAGGACCTAGACAGCTTTAGGGGGCTATTATTCTGTCTACTACTCCTGTTGGGGCAGATCTATCCTCTCATACCTTAGAAAACTGCAGACTGAGATAATGGAAAGACTGTAGGACTCAGGATTATAGGTTGTGGGTTCAGGTCCTAGTTCTGCCACTTTACTAGCTATACGACCTTGGACAAGTCACTCAACCTCTCTGAGCTTCAGTTTCCTTCTCCACAAAAGGTGATAAATACAACAGAACATTAATTCTAGGGCTATCATGAAGAATAAATGAAATAACACTGTAAGGTTCTATAGAAACATGTTTTTTGTTTGTTTTTGTTGAAGTATAATTGACATACAGTATATTAGTTTTAGGTGTACAAGTTAGTGATTCAACAATTATACATGTTATGAAATGCTCTCCACGATAAGTGTAGTCACCATCTGTCAGAATACAAAGACTTGACAATATTACTGCCTATATTTCCTATGCTGTGCATTATAGCTCCATGATTTATTTTATAACTGAATGTTTGACCTCTTAATCTCCTTTACCTATTTCACCCATCCCCCACCATCTCCCTTCTAGCAACCACCAGTTTGTTCTTTGTATTTGAGTCTATTTCTTTCCATTTGTTTGTTCATTTGTTTTGTTCTTGGATTCTACATATAAGTGAAATCATGTGGTATTTGTCTTTTTCTGTCTGACTTACTTCACTTAACACAATACCCTCTAGGTTGATCCATGTCATTCCAAATGACAAGATTTGTAAGTTTTATTTTACTTTGCTGTTTGGTCCAGGCACATTAGGAACATGTGAACTAGTTTTTAGGAACAATTAATTCTCACATACCAACATCCTCCACCTTGCCATGCAAAAATTAATAGAATTTAAAAATATTTTAGATTAATAGAATTTTCTAAACTCATCTGGTACAAGGGCCTACTTACAGTGCCCTGGGCATACAGTGCTGATCTACCCTTCTCTGTCTTGGAGTATCCTGTTCTTTCCTTCTGTGGAATGCATCCTTGTCAAATTTTCTTAATGTAGGTAGTTTTTACCTTCTTTCAAAACTTATCATAAGCATCCACTTCTCAAAAAGCCTCCCAGACCCTTCAGGATCCTTTAGCAGGCCCATTTTTCTGTACCTTGTAGCACTCTGCACACACCTCTAGCATAACACATCACCTAGGATGATATTTGGTGAGGTGCTGATCTGCCACTTTGCCCCTCACCCCATTATAAATTCCTGCCCAGCCGGGCAGCCCTGGTGGTCCAGCGGTTTAGTGCCGCCTTCAGCCCGGGGTGTGATCCTGGAGAGCCGGGATCGAGTCCCACGTCAGGCTCCCTGCACGGAGCCTGCTTCTCTCTCTGCCTCTCTCTCTCTCCCTCTCGCTCTCGCTCTCTCTCTGTCATGAATGAACAAATAAATAAATCTTTAAAAAAAAATTCCTTGAGGGTAGGAACTATGTCTTGACTATCATTGTATTTTGGGTACCCAGTTCAGTGATGAGAACCAAGGGGTACCTAGGAAGCTCAGTCAGTTAAGCATCTGCCTTTAGGTCAGGTCATGATCTCAGGGTCCCGGGATCAAGCCCTTTACTGGGTTCCCTGCTCAGCGGGGAGCCTGCTTTTCCCTCTCCCTCTGCTCCTCCCCCTCATGTTCTCTTTCTGTCTCTCTCTCTCTTTTCCTCCCTCCCTCCCTCCCTCTCTCAAATAAATAAAAAAAAAAAATGCTTAGCTATCATGACCTTGGTTGAGTAAAACAAATCTAGAAGTAGTTCAAAGGGAAACTAAAATTAAGAGCAGAACACTTATGGTAATTTTAAGACTAGCATTTTGAACCTCATAAACCACAAGTAAACAGGAAGCACTTTAGATCAAATAGCTGAAGTCCAATTTGAGTAGTTCTATAGCAATACCCTGCCACCTGCTGAAGCATGAAATAAATATCACCCTTGCCAAATCCAAACCTTTAGAGAAATATATATACAACAAATATGGAAAACCACTGATTTGTGATTTATGACCACAAGTACTAAACATTTTACTTGCAGTCTCACAAATGATTTGCCATAATGTGAAAAGTTTAATTTTGAATATTTTGTTTAAAATATTTATTTATTTATTCATTCATTCATACACTTTCACCCATAGAGGTAATGTATATTTGTAGAAAATTAGGAGAATGCAGAAAGGTATAAAAAAGAACACAAACACTTCTGCCAAATTACTGAATAAAAAATCGTGTACAGTAAACTCCAAACATAAAAGGCCAAAATAACCTGATTGTGTGTGCCCCTGAGTTCATAGTGACTCATTCTCTGATGTGTTCCCCTCAGCTTTGTCTGGCCCCGGCCTCGTGCGCATGGTAACAGTTTGTGTTGGATCCATCATAACGCATCTGGACAGGTTGGAGGAAGTCAGCAACGAACTGGGTTATGTCGACGTGTTGACTCTCATGCGGCGCATCATGCTGGACACCTCTAACATTCTCTTCCTGGGGATCCCCTTGGACGGTACTTGAGAATTAACATTCTGCCCTTTATTGAACAAGGGGATGAAAGGGTAACAGACCCAAGGAAAGATATACTGTTTTGTACAGCACTCTTGTTAGAACATCTCTAAGTATCCTTATGGGTTTTTTTTTTCCCCTGGTGTGTCTGCCTTGTTCATTTATAAGATATAAGTTTCTCTAAATAGGGTCCATCTCCTCTTTTGTATATCTCCTCATTGCTCTGGGAAATACGATTCTACCCACAGTCAAAACTTAACAAATGTAATCAGTTCATTTGGCCATTAACATAATCTACCACCAATCAAAATGATATATTTAACCAATTCCAACCATTCTTTTTGGATGCATACACACACAGATATACAAACACAGATATATACATAAATATACATACACACACCTCCCTCAAAGCTACTAAGCATGAAAACTGTCTATACAATGATAATGGTGCTGGTGCTGCTGCTGGAAATAATGAAAATAGCTACCATTCATTTAGTATCTACTATTAAAAAAATTTGCTTTACATACAGTTTGTCATTTAGCATTATAACAATTCTGGCAAGAATGTCTCACTCAAAAAGCCACTCCCTTCACTATTACAGAAACTAATATTAAAACACATACATGCAAATCTATCATCATAAAAAAAAACCATTAATCAGTTATGTTAATTCCATTCTGTTGTTGTCCAGCTAAATGTAATTTTCCCTGAATTCTAGCATGTTCACTGACTCATTCGTTCATTCAAAAAATATTTGCTAATTGCCTATTTTCTGCTAGGCATCGTTCTGGGTTCTAGCGATAGAACAGTGAACAAGATAGATCAAGTCCTTGCCTTCAAGGAGGTTGCATCCCAGTGGCAATATAAACAGCAAACAAGTAAATATCTAATAATACATTAAGCAATACTAACTGCCCTAAAGAACAAATGAAGCAGGGCAAGGGGATAGAAAGTGAAGGAGAGGTGCCACAGGGAGAGTGGGTAAGGCTATCACAGAGAGGGTTGTCAGGAAAGGCCTGCGCAGGGAGGACACCTAGACATAAGCTTAAATGCAGTAAGCAGTAAGCTTAAATGTGAGCCACATCCAGGTCTGAGGGAGGAACATTTCAGGCATGAGAACAGGGTCTTGTTTTAACACTGGCCCAAAGCAGCTGAGCTGACACACTTGCTGCCTAATTGGCCACTTTTGGACGAACAGACCAGCTATAAGCACTTCTTTTCTCTTCTCTAGCTCTGCTTTCTTCCTCTACCCTGCTCTTTACTTACTCCCTACAAGAGTCATAGAAACCTCATCTGACTGTCATTTGGATGGGAGCCTCATTCACTCTTGAGTATTTTTAGTCACACTCCTTGTCTGATCCTTTTCAGACAGGAACTCTAATCCCAGCTGGCCTGTCCTACATGCAGCTCTCCTAAGGTTAGGCAAGTCCATTATTTTATAAGTCCCTGTGTCATGGTTCCCTGTAAACCTCCGTTCTTAGGAAAGATGAAGTAAAGGGAATTGTAAATCTCTGTTAATTTAGGGATCAGACTATGAGGCTAAGAACCTACACAACCCATGCAGAGTTATGTTTCTTCCCCTTCTCCATATCCCATCCTTGTTAATTTTTTATTTTATTTTTATTTTATGATAGTCACACACAGAGAGAGAGAGAGAGGCAGAGACATAGGCAGAGGGAGAAGCAGGCTCCATGCACCGGGAGCCCGATGTGGGATTCGATCCCGGGTCTCCAGGATCGCGGCCTGGGCCAAAGGCAGGCGCCAGACCGCTGTGCCGCCCAGGGATCCCCTACAATCCATCCTTGTTAAACTCTCAATTTACCTGAGGGAGCCAGTGCAACAAAGAGTGAAGAACATTGCTCTGAGGTCAGGTAAGGCTGGGGTCCAGCCTAAGGGCCTGCCTGCCACACTGGCTGTATGGTGTAAGGCAAGCTTCCCAGTTTCTATGAACTGCAGTTTCTTCATCTGAAAAAGTGATGACACTACCACTCCCCTAGCAAGATTATAAGGATTAAATGAGGTCTCTTTTGTAAAGCACTTTACATGGTGAGTGGTATTTGGCAGTTGAAAATAAATGTCTATTTCCTTCCTTTTTGTACAATTTGAAAAAAAGAAGGGGTTTTCTTTCCCCAAACATGCAATTTAATTAAAGGACATCCATTAATAGCTGCCTATGCATGAGCCTTGGGACAAGATATTAGAGATACTCAGACGAATTCTATAGTCTGGACCAGAATGTAAACAGGAAAGTGGCATGGCTTTTTTCCCTCCCAGGTGCCAGAATTGAGGAGAATAACAGCCATGATTACTGGTGTCCCTCTTATTTCCCATCATCCAAAAAAACAGGGAGGAGTTGGACACTCAGTCAAGGAGGGGCATTTGAGATTCTAGGCTGTGTCTCTAACACAAACTTGAAAAGTGGCAAATCTCTGGTTAACTTGGTTGATTTAAATGCCAAGAAGAATCAATCAATGTTGATTTGTCTAGTGGCATTCATATGGCTCAAACACCCACTGAAAGTGGGACCTTGCCTAGCTTAGAAGCCCAGGCTGTAAGAAACTCTACACAGGGGATCTTCTCTTCTCAGAGTACTCTTCTTGGGCTCACATTTTTGCTCAACTACTCTGCTCTTTTGTTTGTTTTGTTTTTCCAGAAAGTGCCATTGTGGTTAAAATCCAGGGTTATTTTGATGCGTGGCAAGCTCTCCTTCTCAAACCAGACATCTTCTTTAAGATTTCTTGGCTATACAAAAAGTATGAAAAGTCTGTGTAAGTAACACAAGTTTGGAAAACTTATCAGTGAGATTGGATTGACTTTGGGTTGTGTCTTTGCTATTGTTGGCCTCTTCAGCTAGCTTTCTACTCTTCAGAGCCCACAGGGAAGCTGTGAAACACTTTATAGCAATTTGGCTGCATGTGGCCAGACCGAAAGAGTAAGGGAGGCCTTGGGCCCAGGCAGCTTTTCAACAATGGGGCCAAGTGGGTGGCCTGCGAGCCCCATGTCTGGAATTAGGACACTGCAGTGTAGTTTGAGTTGAAGAGAAGGGTTGGCTGAAGCCTATCATTATTATCTGTCAAAACTTTCTTTTCGTATCTGGAAATTGGAAACACAAAATCATTTTATAGTCCTGTTGCTTCTGAATGAATTTAACATAATTCAACTTGTAGGAATTGACAGTAGTCTCAAAAGAATTTTTGAATATAATGGACTTCAATAAAATGTGGGATTTCCTTTTCTTAGTCATGTATATTATGTCTTTGGGGGATCCTGAAGCTGTTGTTAAATGGCTTTCTTTGGTTATAGACGATTCTGACAAAAACTGGAAAAATGCCCAATAGCCCATAGTCTAAAAAAAAAAAAAAAAAAAAAGGTTTTCAGAGTGTAAGTAGCCAGCCACTGAACACTACCCACTCAGACACCATTAAAAAGTCCATGGGGTTTAGAGGCAGACAGACCTGGTTTATATCCTGTCTCTACCACTTAGTAACTAAATAGCCTTGGGCAGTTATTCAAAGTAAAATGTAACCTACCATTTAAAAGAGAGATACAGGTTAATGAAATCCTTTATGTAGGGTGGCGTAACACAGAGGATGGCACATAGAAGGCACTAAATATGTTAGTTTTCTTCTTCCTTCTGTTCATATCTTCCCCCAGATGTCCCTGATAATCTTAAATCCTCCATCTCAGAAAGTTCCCCAACTTGTTTGAAGACCCAACTTTTTGTGTACTTTGTTTATATATTTTGAAATTTAACAGTGTTAGCTTCCAGGAAGGAAGACAACTTGTTGCTTTATATATTCTCATGTGGTTGGTGAGTATTAGGTGGGTGATTTGGGCACTTGGGTCTTTACATATTTCATTTAGTTTCCACCAAAGTTTATAGTGACTTGAATCAATGAGATAAAGGATCCATCTCTTCACTATGTTCAAATTTGGCAGGGGTCTAAAGAGTCTCATTTTATAGTACTTAGTCATCAGTTTAGCTTTGGTTTTGGCCAGCAAGCTCATAAAAACTTACTGCATGAAACTGTATAATGGTTTCTCTTAGGTTTCTATAGAAATTAGCTCAGCAACATTCCTTCTACATAGAATATTTGCCACTGGTTAGTATATGAATCTATATCGCCTATGTCCTAGAGCAGTAAAGACCTAGAGAAATCTTTAAATCTCCTTTCCCAACCATGTCCATTGCAATAATGCCAATATTTTTTTTAAATTTGAGGTATAATTGACATATAACATTATATTACTTTCAGGTGTACAAGCAACATCATGACTCAGTATTTGTATATATTGTGAAATGATCACCATTATATCTAGTCACAAAATTTTTTCTTATGATGAAAACTTTTAAGATCTATTCTCTTGGTAACTTTCAAATCTGTAATACAGTATTGTTAACTATAGTCACCATATTGTATATCATGTCTTCATAACTTATTTTATAACTACAAGTTTGTACTTTTTCATTCCCTTCAGCCATTTTGCCCATCCTTACCCCCCACCTCTGGCAGCCACCAATCTCTTCTCCGTATCTATGAGCTGGAGTTTTTTGTTTTGCTTTAATACTCCACATGTAAATGAGATCATGTAATAGTTGTCTTTCTCTGTCATATCAATACTTTTTAGAAATACACTGATGGAAAGGATTCTGGGACATCTACTCCCATCCCTAATTATTCAATTTTATATTTCTGCCTGTCTTAATTCCCAATATTACAGCAGTACATTTTCAACTTCTTATTCTGGCAAGTTTAAGGCTTTTAACCACAGAACACCTTAAATAGGTGTTTGTAGCCTGGATTGATAACCTAGCCACCCTTGTTTTAGTATAAAATATGCTTAGAGTTCCAAACCACAGACTCACAGATATATTCTTGTATTACATGTTTATAAGTCAGAAATTTCCTATTCCCTGAAAACTGTCACTGAACTCAATTCTCCCAGTTTTTACAGGCATATAAATTCAGATGCACAAATTTATGTAGGGCCAGCTTCTAAACCAAATAAGAAGGATCCCAATTAGCATTCATGGGCCCCCTGATTCTGGCCCAGATGTTCAGAAGTGACTGCAGTTCCACCAAGGAATTCTCCATGAATTCATAGTCTAAGGGCATTTCAACAACTCCCAGACCATTCAGGGGCCACTGCTCAGGTAGGAATGCTATGAGCATTCACAGCCCACCAACTGAGTAAGTTATCTGTTCCTTGTAAGAGCATCAACAAATATTTTCTGAATAAATGGACTGATAGATGAATGAATGAATGAATGAATGAATGAACGTGACCATAACCTTGGTGTATATCTGGAGGTAGGTGTATTTCTGCAGGCACACTTACAGAGATACACAAAGGATGGCATCCTTATTTAGAGTAACACAATTACTATACTAGCCTGAAGAATAGGTCTTCAAATGTTGAAACACATTCCTTCCTTGAGATGCCCAGAAGAAACTTTAAAAAGTGGGAAGAATCTTCCCTTACTTTTCCTGTTAAGCTGGAGTAAACATAGAGGCTATCTGTGTCAACATCATCAACATGGTTGTACAAGTGACCATGTCAACAAAAATTTGAAAGAAAGATTTATTGTACATTTACTATAATGCAGAATGCCATCCTCCCCTGAGACTGGGCAACAATATACTTACATATGGATGTATACACTTCAAGACAAATGCAAGAATAGCAGGGTTTAGATCTTACAGTAGACTTACTGTTCATTGAGTCTGAGACCTTCACTTTAAAAGAGATGTAAGAGACTTAAAGTAGGTTACATAGAAAGAAAACAATCCAGACTAGAAACTGACTCTCTCTTCCCAATGTGCTCTTCCCTCTACCACCCTGTCAAAATGCATATACTCTACATACTCATGTGGCTAGTCAGTCAGTCAATAAATATTTACTTCACGTTTACTATGTGGCAGAAACTTCAAGGTAAGAGAATATCAAGAATAATACTCAATCCTTTGTGTTTACTTTCTAGAATAGAAAATCTCAAACTCAGTTGTTTCCAGAGCTGGGCCAATAGAAGTAGGCTGTGTGGATATGAAGTAGTGAAAGGGACCATAAGGAAAGGAGGGGAAATTGAGTGGGGAAAAATTAGAAGGGAAGACAAACCAGGAGAGACTCGACTCTAGAAAACAAACAGAGGGTTACTGATGGGGAAGCTGGTGGGGGGATAGGGTAACTGTTTACTGGCATTAAAGAGGGCATGTGATGGGATGAACACTGGGTGTTATACTATATGTTGGCAAATTAAATTAAAAAAAAAAACAGGAAGTAAAGGCGCCTGGGGCAAACTGTGGAGAGTATGGTTTGCCTTTGCTGGTTTTTGGTTTTGTTTTTCAATTTAGACACTGTACTGGCCACATGAAAAGTCAGAAAACATGATTGGATTTACCATTTTGGTACCAGCTTTTAACCTTTCACTAGAGGTTATGGCCTTCGTTTTGCTATCAATACCTAGAAATCCTAGCTAAATTTGGTTCCTTAACATGAAGTATAATGAATACGTAATTTCAGGATATTTGTGAAGAATTAAGTTTAAATTCAGTTATTCATGAGCACTAATAGCTTCAATTAAAGCAGATAATTTTATTAAACAAATGGTAAATGAATACACTTTCTACATGTCTTAACTAACTAAAGATAGATTATATCCCCCCCCCACCTTTTTTTTTAGCAAGGATTTAAAAGATGCCATGGAAATTCTGATAGAAGAAAAAAGACACAGAATTTCCACAGCAGAGAAACTGGAAGACCATATGGATTTTGCCACTGAGTTGATTTTTGCTGAGGTACTAACCTAGATTAATCATAATTTCCACACAACATATGTATTTGACTGTTTGTGTGTAGGTTGTATAAAGACCCCCTCTTGTAATTGTTGTATACTTCTGCATATAAGTATTTATTTGCTCTTGTACTTCTATAATGACAACCCCAAGAGCCCACTCATTAGACATTCTGGTAAGACTGACCTTTAAGATCGAAACTTCTGTATCTGCACAATACAAAATATGAAAATGGAGGAGCCTAAAGACAGTAAATACATAGACAATTGGTTAAATTTGTCCTCTTTCAGCTGAAGACTATTATAAAAAATGTCAATTACAGAGGTGTAATATTTATGACTCCATTTTGTTGATACTTTTGATCATGACTGTCCCTTCCCCCTCCTTTCTGGAAGCATAAATTTACTTTTCCAATTTTTCTTCCCTCTTTTGTTCAGAAACGTGGTGACTTAACAAGAGAGAATGTGAACCAGTGCATACTGGAAATGCTGATCGCAGCACCAGACACCATGTCTGTCTCTGTGTTCTTTATGCTATTTCTCATTGCAAAGCACCCTAAGGTTGAAGAATCAATAATGAAGGAGATCCAGGCTGTTGTTGGTAAGAACTGATCAACTAGTAATAGAGCTTAGTAACCATCTTCTAAGGTCAGCTTCTTAAGTCCTAAGAATATGATTTCAAACAAAATCTTTATTACAATCCACCCACAGAACAATAATGGTAGTCATTTTGCCCCACCTGGTTATGCCACATGGATTGAAAAGTTAGTTCCATTCTGTGTTTTTGTTTTCATTATAAAAACAATGCACGCTCATTGAAAAAATTTTAAATAGAGATACACATAAAGCAAAAGGTGACACTCCCTGACCCCTTCCACTCTCCTCACCAGCCTCATTTGCATTCCCCAGGGGGAACCACTCTTCATTCTTTGCTATGTATTCGTCAATGTTTTTCTTAATGTGCACATAAATGCTCTGCCTACCTTAGGCAGGCCAAATGCTTTTGTGGGTCTATCCAGGGAACTGGCTACAGTAATTACTTACTATGGAACGCCTTTGGTTACCTTCTCTGTCATCTTCCCTTCTACCTCCCCATCTCAAATAAATGTACCCCATTACACCCTAAAGTATACAAAGAGCAGCATACAAGGGGCAGGGCTGTCAGAGTTCTCTGACCAAATGAGACCCTTTCTGAATGATACGGCTGTACAGGAGACAGAGCTGCCTTGGGACTCTAGGCTTCTAGGCTGATTTTGATTCTGCAAATGTGGTAACTCATTTGACGATGCTCTGAAGCTTTGCCAATTCTGGGAATAATCCAAGCCTCTCTGACCAGTGTCAGACCAGTCTGAAACAGTGCAAGTATCTGTCAATCCCCAGCACACTGAGAGTTTAGCTGAAGCACCTATTTTGCTATGGCAGGGAGAGGAGGTTCTTGCCCCTCTAGTACAATAGGTTGGTTGTTTTTGATGAGATGGAAGGAGGGACTATCAGTGATGCATTCTGGGCAGATGACTGCACAGGTAACCAGAGGAGAAAATTTCATTGAAAGGGATTCAATTCACCATCTCACTTTGACTAGAGGAGGAGTAAACGTCCCCTAGAATTTACAGTAGGAGACAAAATTCGAAGACCTCAGAGACCAGGAAAATACATGTTTGAAGCAGATTGTGTAGGTCTACATAAAACTGCAGGTGGATGCCCCTTCTAAAGGGCTCATTGGCCTTCAAGTTCAGCCCATCATTGCCATGTAGTGTTGTGGGCCCAGTATTATCAGGTTTTCTTATTTTTCCAGAAATCCAGACTTTTCTATGAAATCTCCTGGGTTTTATAGTAATTGGCTTCAAATCTGAATTTTTACAAAGCACTCTTTGAACCAAATGACATATTTGGCCCAGATTGCTGGTTTGCATTAAAACTATAGGAAAAAAACAAACAAACAAAAAAAACGTTCAGCCAGGAGCAGACTCTTCTGTGGAAACTATGGGAGTTTTATTGCCCATCACATATTGAAACTATCATTATCTCCTTGTCCTATTTATCTGCTCCCACAGGTGAAAGAGATATAAGGATTGATGATATGCAAAAATTAAAAGTGGTGGAAAACTTTATCTACGAGAGCATGCGGTACCAGCCTGTTGTGAACTTGGTCATGCGCAAAGCCTTACAAGATGATATCATTGATGGCTACCTAGTAAAAAAGGGGACTAACATTATCCTGAATATTGGAAGAATGCATAGACTGGAGTTTTTCCCCAAGCCCAATGAATTTACTCTTGAAAACTTTGCAAAGAATGTAAGAGCCCTTCCTTAAAACCAAGTGTGCCACTCTCAAAAATGTCAACTGTTAAATCCTCTCTTGTTCTGTGTTTGCACCATGTACATTTCATTCTATTTACTTATTCCCCTCTATTGCCTCACCAGAAGCACATGCTTCCTCTAGCTTAGAACATGACTACCATATTCATCCTCAAGCCAAGGATGCTAGGTCTCCAGCTCTGAGAAGTATCCCACATGGTGGCCACACAATGGGTCAAAATGTGAAAAATCCAGGCCCTTAATTTGGCTACAATGAGGCAAATGTTATTTAACCCAACCAACCTACTGTTCCATTTCAACTTGTCACTTTGTAATCATGTAGATTCAACTTTAGCACCACCTAAGCAAAGGAAAGTCCAGTTGTGTTTCAGATGGATATCAAATAAGACCAAAAGATTTAGTTTTTGCAGTCTGCCTTTGGTTCACCAAATGGCCCCGTAAACACTAGTTCCCATTCTAAATAGAACTCAGTAACCAGAAGAGCTTCAGCTTTTTCCATCCTTGAAATATACTGTAGATGCAACTTCTATTATGTCAAATTTTAGGCACTGATGTTTATTAATCAAAATTTTCCAGATATTTCCCTCACTGTTCTCTCTTGCATTTGCATATGATATAGAAATATGATCTTAATTACTCCAGTTCTCTAATTCATTCTGCTCCTACGTGAGCAACCCATGCTATCTATGTTGACAACTGGTCATCAAAAACTTCCTGAGCCTCTACTTTGAGCCAGGTACTATGTAAGCACAGATGGTAACAAGACAGACAGATGTGGTCCCCATTAATTTTTCACATAACTAAAAATATTTGGATGCTTGGCACTAAGAGGCCAGGAGTCAACATATTTGCACAAAAACAATCTTTGCCTCAGTGACACGCAGAAGAGTAGTAGAGCTGTGGTCATCCCATAGACCTAGTTGAGTATGCTAACACTGGCTGTAATATGATGATGTGTATTGCTTTATCTCAGCAAATTTGTGTGAAAGGTAAAGGTAGGGACTGTCCAAGGTTGGGCATATATCAGAGGGGGTGAATCATATTGGATGGATAAAAGAACTTATTTGAGTTACAGTCATTTCGTTGAGGGAAGAGCATGGTTTAAGCCCTGTGACAGCATTCTGATTGATCAGTGTTTTCAGAGTGAATCAAACAGAGATTGCATGACTCTGGCTAACTGTCTGATTATTTTCATAGGTTCCTTACAGGTATTTTCAGCCATTTGGCTTTGGACCTCGTAGCTGTGCAGGAAAGCACATTGCCATGGTGATGATGAAAGTTGTCCTGGTTACACTTCTGAGACGTTTCCACGTGCAGACATTGCAAGGAGAGTGTATTGAAAATATGCAGAAAAAATATGGCTTGTCCTTACACCCAGATGAGACTAACAACTTGCTGGAAATGGTTTTTGTCCCAAGAAATTCAGAAAAGTGCCTCAAACACTAAAGAAGGTTGATCAGTATCTACTCTGAGCATTTCATCAGTAGTTCACATGGAAACTGCCTGTCTTTACCAAGTAGTGTCATCCTCACAGTGAACATTTGGTGGCCTATGCCATTTTATAGCCATACCTCATATGGACTGTCAGCAAGTCAGGAGACATTGGTCATCTGTTTTTGTCCAAACCAGAGAACTAGTCTTTCAGAGAAAATAGAGGCCAAGAGATTGCAGGGAAAATGCTCAATTCCACAAAACATGCTTTGGAAAAGTTAGGCCATCAGCAAACTTTCTGTCCTCCTTCCCACAAAATTTCCACTGCCCTGCCCCAAGAGCATTTTGATGTCTCGGGCAGAAGCACTCAAGTCCATTAGAAAAGCAGGCTGATGTCTGGGTACTTAGGGCCAAACATACCTGCTAATGTGAATAAAAGTATTTTGATTTAGTTTTCAGTGGTAGGCTCTACAACATTCATATTCTTTGGAGAAATGCTTATAAATTCAGCATTTGACTTTTCCTACAAGTTATTCAACTAATTCTTGATTGATTATTCATGGTGACTTAACTGTGGCAAAAATTGAACAGGGGGACTATCTTTTCCCAGTCTCTCAATTGATGCCTCAGCCACTCACCTCTGCTACAATAGATATAGATTCAGGTAATATAAAGTAATTTAGTAATAGCCTGAGTAAAATACGATTAGGACCACACATCTGCTGTAGGGGAAAAAAAAATCACACAATGCATTTCAGATTCACATAAAATTTTCTTCATGTTTGCATCATTGCTTAGCTCCACTAGTGCTAACCAAGAGTAACTTTAAATAATGACATCTATTAACTCTTAAAATGGCCCCAATGATTTGAGGAAGGAGAACTCTACATCTATATATAATTCCACAAACCAGTGGATTCAAACCCATTCCATCATCTTTCTCCCTCAACAGTTCCCCCCCTCTTTCTTTCCATAACCTTGAAGTCAATAGCAACAGATCAGTGGAGAACATGGTCAGGGTGGAGGCCCTGCAATCATCTTTTATCCTACCTCGGATTTAATAGTTATCTTAGACATTTAACAACTATGGAGTTCATTGAATCACTATACATAGCCATGAATAAAATACACACCTTGTAAATTAGTTCTTTAAAGAGAATCAAGTATGGGATGCCTGGGTGGCTCAGTCGGTTAGGCATCCGACTCCCAGTTTCAGCTCAGGTCATGATCTCAGGGTCATGAGATGGAGCCCTGTGTCAGGCTCCGTGCTGGATGTGGAGCCTGCTTCAGATTCTCTCCCTGCAACCCCCACCCCATCACTCACTCACACACTTTCCCTCTAATAAAATTTTTTTAAAAATAAAGAGAATCAAGTAGGAGTTAATTTTCCACGTGCCACTACTTGTTTTAGATAGCCAATATGATTATATCTACAGAATGCCACTTAAAAATTGAAAAATTACAAGTAAATAAATGTTTGCCATTGAATCAACTGCCATCAAAACATTTGAATACTCTTTTCACCCTACCTTTTGGTAATAGAGCAGCAGCTGAGTATTAAATTGTAAGCACTATGAGAGCATGAGCTCTTTATTTGGCATCCTCCCAATCCCCCATTCTGACTCCCTATATTTACTGTGGAGGAAGGATAGCACTGAACAGAGACACTCTTGCTCATAGATAATCTAACTGACCCCAGAATCCAAGTAAAGGGGAAGCAGGTATTCTAAGACCTCAAGGATAGCTATTAGTAAAGAAAGAAATACTTAAACTTTGGATAATCTATATGGCCTAAACATATACAGAAATACGCCTGTGTACCTGGATATATTCATAGTAAGGTCGGGACAATCATCCAAATAATTCAGACCCCTGAAAGAAAGGCCAGGATTTTAGATTTAATATATTCAAATCAACTCACTTGATGACTATTAACACACACTTTGCTTTGCCTCTGGCAAGAGATAGCAGAGGAAAAAAGACTTCAGATCAGTGTACAGTTCACCCATCCAGTTCCCTTGGAATATCTACTGTATTTTGTATGTATATATGTAGCCAAGGTCTATGTCTACACAGTCAAAGTCAAATGGAAGGTTTATATAGTTATATAGAGACATTGTAGATATAAAAATATGCTGGGGAAAAAATTGAAAAAATAAAAATATGCTGGGGAAAAGTTAGGGATGGGGGTGGGGGGCAGGGGAAGGACAAGAAGAGGGAAATGCTGGTTTGATCCAAGCAAATTCTCAGAATCAAATTATCTGGGTAATCATTCAACTTTTTACTCTGCTTGGTCTATACTGACAAACCCCAGATGTCTGTACAGGTTTTGCCTAGGGAATTTGGAATACCATCAACTTTTCACTAAGCTGATCAACATATACTTGAAAATCTTGTTTTCTCTTCAGAATTTTGCCTCATTGTTATGTACTTATCACTCTTGAACATGCTGTGGATTCTGTTTTCACCAGTTTTCAAAGAAATTGTCAGTGAAATGCATGCATTATAAGGGCTCTGTTATTGTGAAATTAGGAAGGTAATTGTGCCCTCCTATACTCAGGTGTACTAGACACCCCCATATGCCTTCATTAACATCACACTTTTTCCTCTTCCAAGTAGAAAATAATCCCATACAGAAAGCCCCCACATACTGAGAAACGTGATTTAGAAGTTGTCACTTTTATTTATAAACAGCACCTTTGGAAACTCATGGTGCTAATATTCCCCTAAGTGTGTGGCATTGGCCCATTAGAAAGAATGCTAGCTGGATCCTCCTTAATCTCATATATCAGCTGGGCTCTGTGATTGAATCTTTCACCCATACTTGCAGAACAATTTGCTAAATTAAATTCTGTCAAAGTAATGAGTGGAATGGAATTTGTGATACTTTCAGTTGGACTTAGCTCGGAAAAATCAAACTCTCCAAGGCTAAATGAACAGGGCTTACCTAAATGAACTATTCTTACTACCATTACAGTTGTTCTATTTTATTACTAGCTATTGTTGTTAATTTCTTACTGTGCTTAATTTATAAATTAAACTTTATTATAGGGATTCTGTACAGGAAGAAAACTATGTACAGGGTTTGTTACAATCTGTGGTTTCAGGCATCCCTGTTGGGTTTTGGAATGTACTCCCCATGAATGAGGTGGACTACTGCATTAGTAAAATATTTCTTGCGATGAAGATCTTAAATTACAAGACCTGGAGGTTTAGCCTATGGTCCAAGTGGATTTTTTTTTAAGTTCCTTTCAGTTCCATGACTCCATAAATAAGGAGACAGTGAAGACTTGAATCCGGATTCAGCCTTTTCTTAAATAAATAGTTGGGCAAGCTATTCAATCTCTCCATACCTCAGTTTTCTCATCAATCCAAATGGGATAATAATTACTTGAGAAGGTTGCTGTGAGGATTACAAGGGATGATTCATGTGAAGCTCTTAGGACACTGTCTGGTACAGGGAAACCTCTCAATAAGCAAAGGCATAAAAATGATGATGCTCAGTAGTTAGGCTGACCCATGATACCCTCAAACCTTCTCGCATGCAGTGGAGAGAGCAAAAGAGATGTGCCAGATGCTTCTACATCCATTTTCTCATTTTAAGCTTCATGACAACTTTCACATTAAAAATTGCCCCAAGAAGCTCCATGTTGTATCCATGAGAACAGAGACCCAGGGAGTTTAGGAGACCTGCCCTCAAGTCCATCTCTCCTTCCAAAGTCCTTGGACCCTTCATCAAGCTGCCTCTTTGCAACAGGACTCACTGCTGGAAGGCTGAGGAGGCCAGGCTCAGTTTCCCAACTCTCCCACTTTGTGATGCTAGGTAAAACCCTTTCAAGATTTGTTCATTCCTTGCCTCCTTACCCAAAGAAATTTGACAGCAGGAAATATCTCAGTTCCTTCATCGATAAAATCTGAATGATTCTGCCTAAGCTACTCCCCCCCACACACATACACAGGTATGTTTGGAGGATCTTTCTCAAAAAAGATAGTTCATGGGAGAGCACTATAAAAATTATCTTAAAAAATAAAAAAAATAAAAATAAAAATTATCTTAGTGTAAGGTGGGGGATCTAACATGTGGATGACAATATCGCCCTCAATAGGAAATTATCAGATTCCATTAGGCTATTCCATAACCAGTAGGAGCATTTCTAGTTTTGCACAATTGCAATTCATTTCCAATGCAGTACTGTGTAACTAAGTAAATAGTAATTTACTATAACCACATGTGAACAAATCAGAGCTGATGATGGCCATAAAATCACCTCTATTTTGGCCACATTGGAAGATGCTTCTAAGAAGCCCACTATGATGGACAGCTATTTCTTCATTTGACAAGGATTCCAGATAACAGTGAACTATTCAGTCCCTCATCTCATTATTTCCAAATAGCCAGGTGTTTGGCATGGAGGAGACACAATCAGACACAATGTACATGGGCTTCCTCTGCTAGCCTAGCTAAGCTTGATTGGATAAGTAGCTGAGCACATCACCCTTCTGCCTCCCTCCTACTCCAGGCTATTGTGAAAGTACGTTTCTTCCTTCAGACCAAGAAAACAAAAATGACTGCATTTACTTTCTTATTCTATTAATCCCTTTACATTACCATTTAATTCTCCCAACTATACTATGAAGCAGGTACTATCCTCATTCCAGAAAAATTCCCCCATCCACCCAATTTACATTCATTTGCTACTTGCTTGCTAGACTTTCTCTCTCATACCCACACATAACTCCAATACACATGGTCAGTGTCTCAGATTCTTTTATCAAAACCTGCTCTAAAATTTTTTAAGTCTGCTTTTATCTAATCTGTTTTTAAAGATTTTATTTTTAAGTAATCACTACACCAAATGTAGGACTCAAACCCACAAACTCTAAGATCAAAAGTCACATACTCCACCACCTGAGCCAACCAGGCATCCCTCTAATCTGCTTTTCAGATCTACCTAAGTTATAAATGATAAAGCAAAGCTAAGGATTGAAATGTCATCCTCCCTTCCAACATAGGCTTTTGTGTGTCCAGAGGATTTCCCAAAAGAATTATAGGTATCAGCAAGCCGGGCTCATGGAAAGAGAAGAGGGAAAAGGAGGTAGTACCTTTGAGAACTCCTTAAAATAGCACCTACTTCACCCATACATGAAGCTGGTTCTACCTATACAGTAGTGTCTAGGTTGTTAGGAATCTCGAATCAGAATGTCTAGAGGTGCCAGGCAGGTAACATAAATCAGATGATCAGGCCAGCTCTTAGAGCTTCTATGAACAAAAGGAGCATTCTCACCTAAAGGCATTTGAGTTCAGTGTTCTTAATACACAGTGCCAGCCAGACCAGTCATCCTTGGGCTGATTGGACCCCAAGGCTTAAGGTCTCCAGCATCAATCACTCTCACATTCATCATTTTTGGGGAGTGCCCCCTTCCCATCCAACCACCTGGTGAGGAAAGCCAAGAAGTCTCCACTTCACAGATGAGGAAACCTGAAGCACAGGGAGGTCAAGTGATTTGTTCAATGTCAATAAAGGCCACATCTGGGAAATCCCCCCAGGGATTCCAGGTCCAAGTCTAGGAGTTGTTTGACTTCAGCGAGCCCAACTTCCCTTCATAACTGTCCATCTCCTAAAGGGTCCTGCGGTGTCTTCTCACCAATCTGAATGTTAGAGGACCATCTATAAATGCAGATTACACTAGAGGACTTCCAAGCCATTTCCAATGCTTTCATTCTAACTTGTTATTTTGCTTCATAAACATAACACCATTTCCCCCTTTATGCATAAGCTCTAATAAACTGAGTGTATAAGGCAATGTTACTTCCAGGTCAAACATGCAATTTGGCTGCTGAAGGAATGACCTGGGCATTCACTGCACATCGATTGCAGAATACAAACCCCAAAACACTAATATGTCTGTATGTAACCCTAACTTACTTCTACAGGAGCATAAGGATGTTCATGGAACACATTTCACTCACAAATAATCACTTTATGCCCTATTGAACTTGCAGGCAAACCAATACATTTACTGAAGCAAATTTTTTTCTGAGGGGCTTTGGTTTCCCACTTAAACTAATGGATCACTAAGGTCAACAGTACCTCCCTTCTTTCCTGAAATTAATGCTATCTCTGGCATGCCTATCACTCTTCCCAAATGCAGCTTGCTGCTTTTACTGCTTGTATAATTCTAGAAACAATAAAATATATGCAAAGAGAAATGAACTCTCTGCCTGTGATAATGCAGGAGTGCCTGACACATCTTTGTGTGTGGTTCTTGAAACAAGTGTGAAGAGGAAAGAAATGTTATAAATCATTAAGATGTCACAACTAATAGCTCTCCATCCAACTTTTCTCATTCAAACCTTGAAACAATCATGCAGGAGATTATTCCCAATTTTGCAGATGATAAAACTGATTCTCAAAGAGTAACTTGCCCACAGTGTCTTACCTAGAAATTTGAACCCTTATCCTAAAATTTATGATTTTTTTCCTGTATGTTATACCAACTAAAAGTGGGATTTGGTCCTTTGTAACATCAAATACAAATATAAATAACAATGCCCATAAATTTTCATTGGTATAGATATTAAAATTGGGGGATGAGGTAGCAGAAAATCAGGTCCTGAGAATACTATGAATCTTTGCCTCTATCTGTGCTTTGGCCAGCCTTATCTCCATGGAAGTAAGTCCAAAAACAGTGAAGTGGGACTTTGTCCTGTCTCTCCAACCACCAGCCAATGATGGGTCAAACCAGTTATATTAATTTGGCTATATTAAGGAGTCAAAGTAAGTTGATCATTATGTTTTCTCTAGCCATCCATGTTTTTATTCATCTTGGTGTCTGGTACACAGAATGAACTCAATGCATTTTTGGAGGATAGAAAATTGGTAGAACATTTGAGCCACTAAGAGAATCACGTTCTACTAGATTCATGAAAATAACTGGTATCATATGTACACCTTCTAAAATGGGCCACTGAACCAGTCTGAAACACTGAATGAACTGGCTACACATTTAAAACAAGAAAAACATAGCCAA